TATTTGGAAAAAAGAAGAAAAAAGTGTTCGATTCTGCCCTATTTATGTTTCTATTTGGGAACAAACATTGGTTGTGTGCGTGTGTGTGTGTGTGTGTGTGTGTGTGTGTGTGTTTTCTGCCACTGTTTAAGAGCAAGCCATGTCTATGTGAACAAGTATGGGATAATCTCGAAGATGTGTTGTTGACTGAAAAAAAAGTAAAGTGAATAGTGTATTTACTATGCTACCATTTGCAAGGGGAGTGAGGTATACTTGTTATTGAAAGTACATGCATAAAATATCACTGAAAGGATGCATAATCAATTGGGAAAGAGAATCGGGAGAAGTTCCAGTTATATAACAAAATACTCCCAAATTTTGTGGCTTAAAACATAATTCTGTAACTTGACTGAGTTTTGCTGGACAGTTGGCTAGGGTTACAGTCATCCATAAGCCCAACTGAATTGGATGTCCAAGATGCTTCACTCACACGGCTGAGAGTTATTCTGGCCATTGCTGGGAGTTGAATGGGTGTTGTCTACCAGAGCTCCTACCTGTGGCCTTTCCATGTGATTTCTCCAAGCATGGCAACTGGGTTTCGAGAGGGAATGTCCTAAGAGTGAGTGTTCCAAGAGTCCCAGGTGGCAGCTGCAAGGCGTCTTGTGACCTAGCTTTGGAAGTCCCAGAATATCACTTGCATTTCATTCTATTGCTCAAGGAAGTCACTAAGTCAACCCAGATACAAAAGAAAGAGAATTAGATTCTTCCTCTCTAGGGGAAGAATGTCAAGGTCACAGTGCAGAAGAACATGTGGCATAGGAGATATTACTGCCACCCTCTGGAAAGTACAATCTTCCACAGAGGGATATTGGCTTTTCACTGTTTCGTCTGTGCTACTGCTTGAACATTTGTCTATGTGGACATCCAAGTATGCCCCAAGATTTCAGATCAAGCATGTTTGTCTACTCATTCTCTTATCGGTGGTTAGTAACCTCATCCTTCTTTACTGGCAAATTCTGGATCGGACCTACTCGGGCAACTCTGTGGCAGTCGTCAGTAACGCCGAATTCTGATTTGTCCTGAGTTTCTTGCATATTCCCACTGTTTTTCAGACTTAAACATCAAACTTCCAATTTTTAACCACCAATCCACACTCCTAGTTAACAACTGTAATTTTGAAATGATTACAGTACAAAGAGATGAATGAAAAGTGACGCTAAAACCACAAAAACAAGAGTTTTCCGAGCTTATCAGAGAACTCTTGTGGGAAGTGAAACAAAACAGTCACGTATTTGTTAACAAAACCTTTGACTGAACACATTGCGGTGGGAGTAAATTGCTTTGTGGAATTTGTGTGTGTGTGTGTGTGTGTGTTATGTGTGTGATCAAATGGCTTTTTTTTAAAGTTTGGTAGGGGCTTCCCTGGTGGCGCAGTGGTTGAGAGTCCACCTGCTAATGCGGGGGACACGGGTTCGTGCCCCGGTCCAGGAGGATCCCACATGCCACGGAGCAGCTGGGCCCGTGAGCCATGGCCGCTGGGCCTGTTTGTCGGGAGCCTGTGCTCTGCAACAGGAGAGGCCACAACAGTGAGAGGCCCGTGTACCGCAAAAAAAAAAAAAAAGAAACAAAAGTTTGGTAAAGTGACCAATTCATTTTGCAAAACCCTCTAGCTGCTCAGGCCATGCTCCTGCAGCATAACCTGTTTCTGCTACAGTGCAGGCCATATTCACTTTGATTTGATTACAGATGAAATACCACCAGTTCTCTAATAGCAAAAAAGTACCAAATATTTCAACCACTGAAAGCACATAAAAGGCAAAATAGAATAAAACAAAACCATGAGCTCGGACAACATGGGAAAATAGCAATCTACTAGTTTTGCTTTCAAATATGTGTCTCAAAACCCTTCAAGATTTCCAGAATTCAGAAAGAATTTATCCCCAAACATTTAGGTAGAAATGACACCATGTGGCTTCCCCTATACCTAGCACACTGTCGGAGGGGGAGGGGGAGTTTAAGGGGGTGGGGGAAAACAAAGAAGCAGCAGGAAGGGGGCTGGATGCTCTGCTCTGCACAGTAGGCCAATGTCAAAATGGCCTGTCATCTGTCAATGGCCACCATCATCCCCAACGGTGAGAAGATCAACAAAATCAGAAAAGGTTTGGAGGGCATGATTGGGTTCTCAAGGAACCTGGTCCATGGGCTCAACTCTGCATTCAGCTGCTGTGAGAGGAAAAGAGGGTCAGAATGCACAGCTCCTGACCCTGCTCGGAAGTCCAGGGCCTAGAATGGTCCTGGTGTCCCACACAAGGCAGGTACTTCCACCAGGACATGCCTGTCATTAGTGCTAGAGGAGGGGAAACAGGCAGCTGTCATGGAGGGGGCGGCTAGGGTCCAAAAGCCATGCTCCGACCAGCTCTGTGCCTTCAGAGGGCCGAGGGTGCAGACATCAGGGAACATGAACCAGGCCGCACGTGGTACTCAGCAGTACTGGGACAAGCACTTGTGGCAGGAGGATCGATGCACAGTACAGGTGGAACAGATGTGGAACCTCAGCCCTGAGAAGTGAATCTGCACTTAGACGAATGTCAGGTGTCTGTAAGTCAGTTGGAGGTATCTGGTGGGATCTCAATAGCAGGAGTTACCTGCTGCTAACCTGTTTTATTTACTTGAATTGCACCTGACCGTGGCACCAGAGAGTTACATTCACCTTTTACAGTAAAAAGACACAGTGGTTGAATCATAGCTGTACTATCATAGCTGTACTATAGTCATGTAGAAAATCAAAGCGGTCTCCATGAATTTTACTTTGTTACAAGAATAACAAGAATCTTGGGGAGGGGTGGGTGGGCAGGGATCACTGCTGTACAGATTCTGTGCATCTAACCCATCCTCTTGCTTGAGCTTCCTAATATCCTGGTGAGGGACATCTTTATAGATGATTAATCTCAGAAACGGGGAAGTATGTTATCTGACCAAGTAGCGGCACAGGAGGACAATCTGTTTTCCTAAACTGCTTTTAAACTCCTCCTCTGTGAAGGACAGGCACATGCTGACAAGCTCTCTGCCGAGTGCTTGAGCCAGGCTGTCTGTGAGGGGCTCTGGGGCAGGCGGTCTTCAGGCTGTTCTCCCTGACAACCTTTTTTCGGACTGAACTGAATGCTACCTTGCTGGGGCTGGGATTTAGGTCACAGCCCCTGACATTTTCATCACACCATAAGGTAAGCCTCCCAGGGGCTCAGCTCTTCTGAGGATCTTCCGATGGAGTAGGTCTGCACTGGGCAGTAGCTCCCTTCTGGATCCAGGAATCTGTGTACTTGTGTATTCGCTTTCTATTGTGGTCACAACCACAGACTTAGAGGCTTACAAAGACCCTCATATTATATTGATAGTGAGTCGGGCATCGTCTTATCTGGAGGTTCTGGGAAGAATCTGTTCCCACGTTCCTTGAGGTTGTTGGCAAATTGGACCCTGTGCAGATGCAGAAGTGAGGGCCTGGTTCCTGGCTGAAGGTCACTTTCTGCTTCCATGTCCCTTCTCTTGTGGCCCTCTCCATCATCACAGCAGCTATGGCACTTTGCCTCATTCTCAGGCTTCAAATCTCTCTGACTTGTTTTACCTCCTCCTTCTGCCTTATTCTGTTGCTGTGACGGTTACAGAAAGTTCTCTGCTTCTCTGAAAGCCCTGTGTGATTAAATTATACCCACTCAGATAATTCCTTTCTAGATGGATCGTGCCATATAACATAACACGGGCACAGGAATGCTATCACGTTCACAGGTTCGGGGAACAACGGGTATGGAATCCTTTGGGGGGAGGGCTGTTTTAGAATTCTTCCTACCACATTCTGCTTCTGTTGCTGAGAGGCGGAGAGTTATTTAGGAACAAGTGACGCAGCTAAGACTGACCATGTGTAGGTTTTGTCGGCATTGCTAAGGAAGTGTAAGTAACAACACTACGGCAGGTCTTACGGTCCTTACCGAGTGCAATTCACTCTCACGCAGTTGTTCGCACGGTGCCGTCCCAGGACCAGCAGCACCAGCATCACCTGGGACCTTGTCAGAAATGCAAATTTTGGGCCTCACCCCAGACCTACTGAATTAGACGCTGTGGGGTTGGGGTCCAGAGCAACCGGGTGATTCTGATTCTTGCTCAATTAAGAACTATTTCTTTAAGGCAAGTCCCCACTTTGGTTTTTTGTGGAAATCAAAAGTCAGGGAGGGGCCAGATAGGTCATCTCTAAGGTGACTTCCAACAACCTATGATTCTGTGAATATTATTAAAATGATCACACTTCATAAACCAAAGTGCACATGTATACACCATTGCACGTGTACATGTGTGTGTGTGTGTGTGAGCTTACACAAGCGTAATGGTTAAGAGTGAGCTTAGGCTCTGGAGTCTTTTCTGTGATCAAATCCTGGCTCCACCAATCCCTAGATATGCAGCTGGATCAGCCGCTTAGATTCTCTGAGCCTCGGTTTCCACACTTACAAAAGAAGCTAATAACAGTACCTACTTCATAAGGGTGTGAGGGGCAAATGAGATGATACAGAAAGAGAATGTAGCATAGTAAGCTCAGTGCTGTTCAGGTGCATTTACTCTATCTTGCTACATTTCTTTAAACTTCCCCCTCGGGTACTTGAGGAGCTGGGTCCCTGGTAGGGCTGGAGCACCCAGGCCCTTGCCAGGAGGCCCTGAAGCCATTCCCTGGGTACGAAGGATCAGCTGCTACGAGGTCTGAAAGCCAAGGTGAACCTTCTCTGATTCTTAGAGTCAGCTTAAGTCCTATTACTGCAAAGGAAGACATATAGGTGAAGTGTGTACGTACTCCTAGGACTGCACTGATCTCCTCCTCTGGGAAGCTGAAAAACACAAGGTGGAAACCGCATATCTTAACGTGGAATCAGCTGAAATTTGGAGAGGGGCTGGAAACAATAGGTCTCTGCATCTGTGTGTGTGCCTATTAATATGTTTGTTTATTTTTGGTTTTGTATTTTGTTGTTTTTGTATCTTCAAAGGAGCAGAAATCGTTAAGCCTGGAATAGAGTCCAGATGTGCCTCTGTATGAAGTTTTGGTGATAAAGTGTGTCACTTGGGGGAGCATAAGGCACCCTCCACCCCACGTCCCACCCTGACCTCCCAGCCCTCACCAGCCAAGCCTGGCGAGATCTTGCCCAGTTTGCTGAGGGGCCAGAAGGGTGAAGGCCTTGTGGAGCCAGAAGCCTGGGAGAGAGGAGAGGCCCTCTTTCCTCTGAGGGGATCTCTGCTTTTGTCAGTCTTCTGGGTAGTTCTCCATGGCGTTGATGTAGAAGACAAGCCAGAGGCCACCCAGTGTGAATCGCTGCTGCCCGAAATGGAATCTGGTCTCCAGGCGTCGGCAGGCAGTGACACGAGGGGCTGATACCCACAGCTGCTCCCCACCTGCACCCTCTTCCCAGGCAACACATGGTGCCCGGAGCCTCACTGCCACCAAGAGAGCGGCTCAGCCTGTGAGTCACTGATCTGCTAATAGCCTCCAATAGCCACAGGAACTCTCCGGGCAGGACGCCAACCGGGTCCTCGGCCCGGGAAGGAGAAGCGAGAGCTTGCAGGTATCTGCCCTCTTTGAGTTGGATCTCCGGCCGAGGTCTTAAGCAGCTGCCTTCCTTTTCTGTGCCTGGTGAAGCATGAGCCAGAGCCAGGGAACTCCTCTGCCTGCCTCCCCTAGGAAAATGCCCACCAGCCTCAGGGAGAGGTGAGCTCCCCCAGTGAGAGTTCAGAGGATCTGGGAGGTTTGGGGAAGGCCCCATAGTCCAGAGAGTCAGAAGCCCGGAGGTGCATTCATAACTGCTCTTGCCATCTAACACTTCCTCTATTCCCCAGCAATGTTCTCTGCATATTCATCCATTTGGTTCCCTTCATGCAGACCAAATGGTACAATTGGCAGGGGGTGGGGTTGGGGGGGGATTAAAGATACTTTGTTCTCTTTTCTGTCACTCTAGAAAGCTCGCTGATCATTTGGTTCCAGTTAGGTAGAATTCTGGATAACAGCATTCTGCGATATTAAACAAGGTTCATAAAATGTCACTATGGAAGGAGCCTTAGAGACTAGCAAATGGTGCTGAGTACAAAAAAAAGTTAGGAATAAAATGAAGTCTACAGCACAATATAGCATAGGAAAATTAAAAATCCATACACGAAACAATACTCATATGTTATAAAACTACGTACCTACTCAAAGATAAATAGCTTTCACATTGATGTGGTTGTCTCTTGGGAGAAAAAGGATCGGTGCTGGGAATGGAGAAAGCAGGAAGGGAAGAGGGGCGGGGCGGGGGGAGAGGGGAAGGGAGGGGAGGAGAAAAACTTGCTGGAACGATGAGGGTACCAGACCATGTCTTGAAGAGAATGAGTAATTCTACCCTCTAGAGTGAAGTTCTAGAACAAAAGTAAAAAAAAAAAAGAAAGGAAGCAAGGCTTAGTCTAATCTTTGCATTTTACAGATGGAGAAACTGAGGCTCATAAAGATGAATTATTTGGCTCTGGGGTTTTATTGCCACTCAATGGCAGAAACCAGGTATTTTGATTCCTGTTTCACTGCTCTCCCTACTACATTCAAACTGCTGCAAGTGTACTTACAAAACCTCCATTCCTCCCCTTCTAATGAGTAATTCATGCAGTTACAGTTTTAACTAGAAACGTTGATCATTGCTGGCCCAACTCATAACCCCTCCTCAGAGAAGCTACCCCACACTGCTGAAAGACAGTGGCCCTGCTGGACACCAGATGACCCAGGTCTCCTTCTCTTAAGGTGAACATTTGATCCAAGGGCAACCCTTCCCTAGATAGAGGGAAGGGCGGCCAACCATCATGCTTTGCCTGGTCTGAAGGGGTTCCCAGGACACAAAACTTTCAGTGCTAAAACCAGAAAATTCCTAGGCCAACTAGGACAAGTTGGTCATCCTAGCAAGAAGGGACTTACGACCTGTGTAGCCAAGTTCAAAACAATAGCATGGGAAATCAGATTCTCAGTTAGAAACTGGGAAACTAAAAATTGATGCCAGTGGCTGAAATAGAAGCGCCATGACATAGACAGAGGGCAAGGAGAGTTGAAGAGCTGCATATTGGTCACGTGTAAACAGAACTTAAGAGCAGAAACTGAGTAAGTAGAGGACACTGATTATATTTGAGGAAAACTGACTTTCAGTAGCTTTTTCCTTAAAAACCACCGTGGCCAATTTCAGATCCTTGCAGAGTCTTTCCAGATGCTTCTGTTTGCTGCTGCTTCTGCTTTCACTGCCAAGCAGAAGACTACAGCAGATGACTCTTCTGTATAAAAGCCAATTCTCTCCAGACCACTGCTGCTTATCTTCCACACTAAAAAGAGACAAGCAAAATCCAGCACACTTAGAAATTTCAACTTGGGAAACCCAAGTGACTTCCTGATTCCTGCCTCATATCTTATGGAGCTCACGAAGCTCTTAATTAGCCAAAGCTGGCGCAACAGACTTTCTCCCAAAGATAGCTACGATAGCATTTCCCATTTCTCGTTCTCTTCTTACATTGCTACTTGGACACTACTCTTATGAAGAGATGGCGTCTATGTCCCCTGCCCTTGACACTGATGGGCTTTTGTGACCATCTCATAGCGTACGGCGGAAGCAACACCATGTGACCTCCAAGGCTAGGTCATCAGACACAACTTCCACATTGTTCAGTGGTGCTTTCGCTCTGGAAGCCTTTAGTCGCCATGGGAGCTGTCTGATTGCCCAGGGGCAGCAGTGCCGTGAGGAAGCCTAAGTTGTTCCACGTAGAGAAACCACACACAGAGGTCCTGAGACTACATGAGGAGAGCGACCAATGCCCGGTCAGCCCCCAGCTGCTTCATCCCTTCTCTCTTCCAGCTCCACCTAGCATGTAATTACAACTACATGAGACACCCTGAGCTGGAAGTGACAGGCCGACCCACTACTTCCTTTCTGACCCAGAGACCCATAGTTTATAAGAGATAATAAAGTGACTGTTGTTACTTTAAGCCCCTAAGTTTGGGGATGATTTGTTTACAGCAATAGATACCAGGATCAGCTGACCTTGAAGAAGTAATAAAACCTGTGGCCTGATCTCTCCTCAGAACCGCACCTGCCACAGCAGGACCAGAAGAACCTAACTAAATGCAGTAGGTAGCCCCATACCAAGCTAGGAATCTGACTCCACATTTACATGAACGACAGATCAGGTAGTGGCCAATCTTTTAGAAATAATTATTCATTTTACCAAATGATTCACAATAACATCCTTTGTATGTGCAAGTATTTCAAATAAGTTAAAGACAACTTTCTTTACAAAAATTGATCTAGACTCAACTTTTTGGGAACATGTCAGTATGTGCTGAATTCTCATACATGGCCCGCCACCAGCAGTTTAAAGCAGCTGTGTCTTCTAGGCACCAGACCCCAGGCAGCCAGCCCTGATGCTGGCAGACACATAAAGAGCATACAGACAGGAGACAAAACACAGGACTGTAAGAACAGGCGAAGGAGCAGAGCCTCTTGGAGGATGAAATAGAGTGGGGTCGGTAGGGCTGCACATTTTTCCTTTAACCAAGGAAATTTCAAGTTTCAGCTGAGCACATAATCGTCTGGTTAGAGAATACATTCAGTTCCATCTGCCTCCCAGCAGGTGTAGCCATGTGACTAATTTCTGGCTAAAGGAGGTGAGTGGAAGTGATCTATGCCAAGTTAGGATCATGCCCGTGAAAGAAACAGGCGAAGTTCTGGAGCTGGATAGCGGTGATGGTTGCACAAAAGTGTGAATGTACTTAACGCCACTGAACTGTGCACTTAAAAATGATCATTTCGGGCTTCCCTGGTGGCGCAGTGGTTGAGAGTCCGCTTGCCGACGCAGGGGACACGGGTTCGTGCCCCGGTCCGGGAAGATCCCACATGCCGCGGAGCGGCTGGGCCCGTGAGCCATGGCCGCTGAGCCTGAGCGTCCAGAGCCTGTGCTCCGCAACGGGAGAGGCCTCAACAGTGAGAGGCCCGCCTACCACACACACAAAAAAAAGATCATTTCTATGTTATGTGTATTTTACCACAATGAATAAATTAAGGAATGAACAAACAAATAAAAGCAAGGGACCCCTCTGGCCCTTTCCCCCTCCCCTGGCTGCAGTGCAGACATGACAGCAAGAGCTGGGGGCAGCCATTGCAGACCGTGCAGTGAAGCTGCGTATCAGGGATGGCAATGCAACTCTCATTCCTGATCCCGGGCCCCTAGACAGCCTTATGGGGCAGAGCCACCTCTCCAGCCCTCAGCTTCCTCCAGGCTGTTTTGTGTGAGAAAAATACACATCTGTCTTGCTCAACAACCTTGGGGTCTGCTTATTACAGCAGCTTAGATTGAACCCTGACTAGGGTCGCAAAGTTGCAGGAACGGTATCGCTTTCACCAAGTAGGGGAAATTCTAAGGTGGTGTCTTTACATGGGTGGCAGTAAGAGGTTGTTGATCTCCTCTGTTCCCTGCATTCCCCCTCCTCTTCACCACTAGTGGGAAGAGATCGTTCAGCTGAAGGACAGTTCAAGGTTAAACTATGAAAGGTGAACGGTATTAGTGGATGAAATGTTTGTTTCTCTGTGGGCGTGCCTCTCCACAGAACTTGACCTGAGCCACAAGGGACCATCAGCTGCATGAATTCCCTGCGGCCCTTGCAGTGCCATCAGTCATGGTACCAGCCGGCTGAAACCAGGACCCTGTAGGGCTAGCCAAGGAAGAGAAAAGGAAAGAGACAGGAAGACTAGGGGAGGGGAGCTCCTGGAAACCACCAGAGATTCACTGTAAATGGCTTAAAAATTCTGGCCCAGATTTCCCTAGCCGAGCCTGGGCACCCACCCTCAGCTGCTGTGAATGTGGTTGCTGACAGCTCACAGCTGTTCCCAATCTAGAGAACTGCCCCCGGCCAATGGGAGCCTTCTCTCCCAGAGGATTACGCCCACCCCCAAGGGAACCCCCAGCCAAAGTCAAGCTGACATGGGCGTACAAAAGGCCAGTCTCCTTACTTCATGGAAGACCAGCTCAGCGGGACAATTAATGCTCCTGTGCTTCGTGGGATTGGGCTGACGCTGGTCTCCAGCTGAGACTGCATCCTTGCTTAGTGTCCCCGCACCACCTCCCATCTCCTTCTTTCCTCACACCTTTTCTCCTGAGAGCACTTCCTCAACATATCACAAGGACGAGAATCCCCCTCTAAGGCTGTTTCTGCGCATCCCAACCTAGGACAGACCTTTCCTCGGGCAAGTAAGTAACAATAGTATACTATGGACTGAAATCAATGTGTGATTTTTTTGTGATTGGCTGCTAGTAGGAATGCATTCTGTCTAGGAATGTGCAGTACTGGGACTGGCCTCCAGACCTTTCAGTGCATAGTGAGGGGTCATCCCATATTCGCTCAGTTTCTCATTTAACAACGTTTATTGGCCACCCATGATATGCAGAGTGTGGAGCAAGACCTGTTTCCTATGGTCAAGGAGTTTGTATTGTAGTAAGGAAGACTTACGTGTAACCACAAACTCTACTCCAAGACAGAATAAAATATGGACTACGACAAAGTCAAACACATATTTCTAGACGGTAGAGAATGCTACATGGGGTGGTAGTGTTTTGGTAGCTAGAGATGCAGGGAAGGGCATTCCAGCAAAGGGAACAACATGTAAAAGACACACACGCTTGGGATGCGTGCATTGTTCTCTGGCACACCTCCTCCGGTAAATGTGCTTCTCTCGGTTCCATCCTGTATGTGTTGAGTGGATTTGAGGGGGGTTTAACTCCAAGAGGGCAATATTATTTCCCTCATTTGTGTATTTCTGGAAGGAAGCGGATTATAGCCCCAAATATGGATAATACAACCATTGTTACCTACGGCAGTCACCACGGGACCGCTAATGGTAAATGGCTGTAAGGATGACAAGAGCCCCTGCAGGCCTCTTTAGCCTTGAGTTGGCCCCGTCTTTAGGCAGGAAAAGCCCAGTCCAGTGTGTACTATAAAGAACCTCCCTCCAGGTCATCACTACCTCTGAGCCCCAAACCTGCCTCCAAGCCTACCGGCCATGACCCTTCTGAGAGCAGGCTCACTGCTGCATTCCACTTCACAGCCTGAGGCCCGAACCGTTTTGCTGCAGGGACAGAGCCTCTTTTATTCATTGTTCTATCTGTATGGGCACTAAGATGATGCTTTGCAATCCATGTTTGTAAAATGAAATTTGACCTACCTGTTTTGCCAGTCTCTTTCCAGAGAGAATGGATCCAAGCCAAGTGAGAAACTTTTTTTTTGCGGTACGCAGGCCTCTCACTGTTGTGGCCTCTCCCGTTGCGGAGCACAGGCTCCGGACGCGCAGGCTCAAAGGCCATGGCTCACGGGCCCAGCTGCTCCGCGGCATGTGGGATCTTCCCAGACCGGGGCACGAACCCATGTCCCCTGCATCGGCAGGCGGACTCTCAACCACTGCACCACCAGGAAAGCCTGAGAAACATTTTTAAAGCAGATGGACAGAATACCTGAGTCAACTGCAGGCCATGTGACTTCCCCCTAGAGATGCGAAAAAGCAACAGCAATTCACTTAGAGGGACACTCCTAGTGGGCTTCCTTCAGAGGGGTCTGTGTGCCTGACCTGACTATCCACCTCTTGGTGGGTTTTTATGTGATCTTTCCTTGTATCTTTTTCTGCTTTGCTACTTTTTCCATGCCTTTCAATCACTTCCTGACCTGACTTTCCTCATTGTCTCAGACTCCCAATCGTCTGTTTCTTTATTCCCCCCTCCCTTCTGACTTTCTTCCTGAGTTAACTATAATTAACTAGATCTACATCTACACATAAAATATGTTTATAAAGTTTATGTTTTCTGTTCTTTTTTTTCTCTTTTTAAATTGAGGTGTAACTGACACAGAACATTATATTAGTTTCAGGTGTACAACATAATTTGATATTTGCATGTATTGCAAAATGATCACCACAGTAAGTCTAGTTAACGTCTGTTGCCAGACATAGTTAAAATGTTTTTCTTGTGAATTTTAAGATCTACTCTCTTAGCAACTTCCAAATGTGCAGTACAGTATTAGTAACCATCGTCACTCTTCTTTCTTTCTTTTTCTTAAACATCTTTATTAAATAGAGTATAATTGCTTTACAATGGTGTGTTAGTTTCTGCTTTATAACAAAGTGAATCAGCTATACATATACATATATCCCCATATCCCCTCCCTCTTGCGTCTCCCTCCCACCCTCCCTATCCCACCCCTCTAGGTGGTCACAAAGCACTGAGCTGATCTCCCTGTGCTATGTGGCTGCTTCCCACTAGCTAGCTATTTTACATTTGGTAGTGTATATATGTCCACGCCACTCTCTCACTTCGTCCCAGCTTACCCTTCCCCCTTCCCGTGTCTGCAAGTCCATTCTGATGTCTGTGTCTTTATTCCTGTCCTGCACCCAGGTTCTTCAGAACCTTTTTTTTTTAGATTCCATATATATGTGTTAGCATACGGTATTTGTTTTTCTCTTTCTGACTTACTTCACTCTGTATGACAGACTCTAGGTCCATCCACCTCACTACCAATAACTCAATTTTGTTTCTTTTTATGGCTGAGTAATATTCCATTATATATATGTGCCACATCTTCTTTATCCATTCATCTGTCCATGGACACTTAGGTTGCTTCCATGTCCTGGCTATTGTAAATAGAGCTGCAATGAACATTGTGGTACATGACTCTTTATGAATTATGGTTTTCTTAGGGTATATGCCCAGTAGTGGAATTGCTGGGTGGTATGGTAGTTCTATTTTTAGTTCTTTAAGGAACCTCCATACTGTTCTCCATAGTGGCTGTATCAATTTACATTCCCACCAACAGTGCAAGAGGGTTCCCTTTCCTCCACACCCTCTCCAGCATTTATTGTTTGTAGATTTTTTGATGATGCCCATTCTGACTGGTGTGAGGTGATACCTCACTGTGGTTTTGATTTGCATTTCTCTAATGATTAGTGATGTTGAGCATCCTTTCATGTGTTTGTTGGCAATCTGTATATCTTCTTTGGAGAAATGTCTATTTAGGTCTTCTGCCCATTTTTGGATTGGGTTGTTTGTTTTTTTGATATTGAGCTGCATGAACTGCTTGTCAATTTTGGAGATTAGTCCTTTGTCAGTTGCTTCATTTGCAAATATTCTCTCCCATTCTGAGGGTTGTCTTTTCGTCTTGTTTATGATTTCCTTTGCTGTGCAAAAGCTTTTAAGTTTCGTTAGGTCCCATTTGTTTATTTTTGTTTTTATTTCCATTTCTCTAGGAGGAGGGTCAAAAAGGATCTTGCTGTGATTAATGTCATGTCACTCTTATTTCTAAAGATATGAAAGTAGAATGTGTAGTGGGTAAACTGGCTGGGTGGCCTTGGTATCTACCCAGGACTTCAAAACACCCACACGTCTTTGCCCCCTCTTTCTCTCCCTCCATCTCAGAGAAGTCTCTTCTTGCTAAACTGCCCTCCACGTGGGTTATGATCTCATCCTTAACCGTTGGCTTTCTTAACTATCCCACTTCCTCTCTCCCAGTCTCTCCACTCGGTCTCTGGGCATACTCAGGTCTCCAGACACTGAAACCCTCTCCTCCCTTCCCCAACCTCACGCCCTCTACCACAACCAGCACGGTGTTGCACCCACCTTCTTGAAGAATCCTTTGCACCTTGTGCCCCCATTTCCCTCCTTCCTGGGCAATCTCTAAGCCCTTCTACTTACCCCCCAGCCCTTACCTAAGGAAATTACTAAGGCCCTGAGCCCCAAGCCCACCCAGCAGCCCCGATCCAGTGAACTATTTTCAGCCCTTAACCTCAGAAACGCT